CAGAGAATATTTGTGTTAGACAGAAACACCCTCGAAAATCATGAAATGTCAGTAAAAGGTGGATGTGAAATTCTAATTCTGCTCCCATATGAAAGTCATCATGATGAGTCATAAACAGAATTAAGCTTATATCAACCAGACTACAACTCTGTGGCACAGTGCTCTATTTCTTTCCACTTTTCATGAAATGTTCTGCCTCATTCATCAGATGCTGTTGTGAGATACAATACCATCCGAACTACCAGTTCATAGTAAAATTTGCCTAATGTGGATTAACAGCATTTTTCAATCAAGTGCTTAATTAGTCAGTATCATAGTAGTGAAAAATACGTAAACTTTTACATGGCTTTGAGAATTCAAATTTCTATTATCTACTGTGATTAGTCTTAGAAATTAATTGAGCCCTTGCTCCTTCTCTTATAGGCTATAAATACAAGTGAAGCCATAAGTTTAAAAAAACAATAATCAAATCAGGAATGTCTGAAGTTAAGCTAGATTGTAAGAGTAAGTTTAGGCTGTCTGAGTCAGCAGGTCATTTAGTAAGGAAAGAAATGTACTGCCTTTGCAATGCAGAGTTAATGAAGTAACTAATGCAAGCATAGCATAATAACGGATGCACAGTTCATTATAAATGCTAATTGAGCCTGTGCATCTCCCTGTTTTTTTTTTAAAGCTGAAGTTAATATTTTAAAAGGGACAAGGGAAAGGAAACTAACAGCCAAGACACACAGCCAGAAAACTTGAACAAGTCCTAAATAAAGCCAGTGAGCACGAAGATGCCAAATGAAAGCGGATGAATTGAACCACTTGTATACCCAGCATCAACTCCTATTCAAAAATTAACATTATACTTCAACTTACCAAGTCACACTACTGCCATGTACACCATCCTATCAGCTACTCCCAGATATCTCAGTCAACTTATTTCCATATTCCTCCAGACACTCAGTGGCTTGAGAAGGCTACAGAAAATCAGACTCTCCTGGCAAGGCAGCAAGTGTTTTTAAATGCTCTCAGCCACCATGTAACACTTTCCCAGGTCTCATATTTGAGAGCATTCCTGTGTTTTGTCGACTTTTCCAAATCATCTTTTAAAAACACCAGACCCAGAATGTTACGATATTTCAGCATGCTTCCCAAGTTGCCTGTCTTCTTTTAATGCTTCCTGTGTTTGTGCT